AGTCTGGCCGTCATTAAGTACGGCTAGCCTCTTCCTCTTCCTTAATGTAATGTACACTCAATGTCACTGACAAAATATAACTCACCGGATCAAGTGTTGTCAAACAAATAAAGATCTAGAGATCTAGATCTAGAGAAAGATGCAACAGACTATTTTTATCCAGCAGACCAAGATAAAATTTACAGGTAGGCCTATTGACTATTGAGCTTCAGCCGCCCGCCGCCATGCTGAAACATTCACTTCCGGATCACAATTTGCCGTAAATGTACGACACGAATGTCCTCTCTTAGCCGAAAAAAACGTCTCATTTCATAAGCTTCCTCTTTCCTCCCCACCTCCCTTTTCCATCCCCAAGCTTTAATCACCCCATCCCACCATCACCTTCCAGAGAGAAAAGAAGAAGATTAACAAGACACTGCGACCGAGCTGACCATATTATCGTAGTCTAACTTAGGCTAGGCCTGCAAGTCTAATTTTCATGAATTATAATTTATAGGCCTAAAGGAAAGTCAATTTCGATCCCTTACGTCAGTACGTATGATGACTTACTAAAATCATCAGGGACACACCAGACAAAATTCCAGACCACTCCCAATCATTCTGACCACCATGAAACCCACCATAATATTACATTTGAGAGCGAAGGAAGAAAAGCGATAAGGACGAACCCAAGTGCTACGCAACAGCGCTATAGGCTCGGGCAGGAGAGCAACGGGAAGACCGAAGAAACGCCAAAGCGACTCTATATTATATATAATAAAGACAGCAGTGGTCTGTGGAGGCAGACACCCCCAGAACACCCAATCTTCTCCCAGAAGTGCTTTTATACAGCGGAATATAAGCCTATAATAGTATATTATGGTCGGGCAGGAGAGCAAGAGGAAGACCGAAGTAACTCCAGAGCTTACTTTACTTTCACTTTTATCCGCCTCTTATACCCTTTTGGGTGTCGCGTGAAGAAAGAGACGTCTTCTGTCGCCAGCCGGAGAGTTTGTATCAGGGGGATGCCTCGAGTTGTGAGTCTCCCAGATTCCATCTAGAATCTATCCAGGTCTTTCTCGGTCGCCCTCTAGTCTTGTTGCCATTGAATTTTTTTTTATTATGTAGGCAAGTAACGTCGTGCTGGATAGTGTGTTGGTAGGCCTAATCGCATAAGTATGTCCGAACCATTCTTTGGAGTTGGATGTGATGCATGACATCATTTGTGCCCACCATTTCTCTGACTACGGAGTTTCTAAATTTGTCTCGCCTGGTCTTGTTTACTGCTTTTCGAAGACATCGCGTTTCACATGTTGTAACTCCTAGCTCCAGTGCCTTGTTCGTGGTCCATGTTTGGCATTGAAAGGTGGGTGTTGGGATGAATATGGTGTCGATCATTTTGAGTTTTTTGTCATGGGGATGTTAGGATGTTTCAGTTGTGGGGCAAGCTGGTAACTAATATAATTATTGGTCTTTTACCAGCTTGTCCCACAACTGAAACATCTTAACATACCCATGAAAACAAAAAGGAGAGACTCTATATATAAAGACAGCAGTTCTCTGGGGCGACAGACAACTTCAGAATGCGCAACCTTTCTCTTCCCCAGTCTCCAGCCACCCACCTGGCTACAGAGAGACGACTGACTGCAGTACCTAATTTAAATCTTATCGTATCTATTCGCCACGTCGCCCAGTGACACCAACGGATTTAGAAAGATCATTTAAAATATAGGCTATTTTATGTGAGGTATCGTGGTGAAAACAGGCGCTCGTCAAAATACTGAAGTAGAAGAAATAGGCATTTTCTCTCCAGTTGGGAACTTTATGGTTTTTTTGGCTCAACACCTTTTATGCCCATAATAAAAACACATTTCCATATGAATTTTACCGAAAAACGGTGATTAATAGCACAAAATATGTAAATTATCTTCAAGGACTCTTAAGCTATGATTATATTAAGTTACAAAACTTTGGAGGTCATTTACTCCCTACCCCTTCAATCGCAAATATCTCAAATTTTTTTTGGTAAAGATGGGTACTTTTAAAATAGAAAGCCAGGCAAATAAATAAGCCTTCATGTGACAAATACTAATATTTCCAAAATGCCCCAAAATTGACCAGCGCCTGATTATTCATTTCCAAACTATATGTTAATACATATAGGCAATAGGCTATACTATACATCTACCAATGTCAGGCATAATATATTTAATTTGGTAACAGCGATACAAGCCATAGTGTTGTAATAGCGTATTTCTCTACATAGACGATGTGTATTATAGGCCTAACTGTAAATCTACAAAGTCAGAATCCACTCTGTGCATTTGCCTGTTCTGTACTTCATCCTCGAGGAATAAGTTAGGGTTATTTTCGACTATACTGGCTAGGCCTACAGCACATTACATACACACAAATACATACACACATACACACACACACACACACACACACACACACACACACACACACACACACATACACACACAAACGTATGCACGTGCGCACACCCATACACACACACTCGCTCATGAAATGAGGGTAGGTTGAGTTCAAAGCCAAAATTATTTTTTGTTAAAGAGGAAAGCCTGGAGATGTGTTTAGTTTTAGTTGAGGTTTTATGGCGCTCGCAACTGCATAATAAGGTCATATGAGCGCAGAAGATTATAGGCGCTACAAGAGAGTAACAAACATAAAAAAGAAAGAGGGAAGATAAGGATGATAGATATTTGAGAGGAAAGAAGGAGCAAACCACACCAAAGCACCCGCCAACCGCCCGCCTGGAGATGTGTGGGTGTGAATATTTGTGTTCATGTGCTTGTAGTCGCAGTAAATAAACCATTGTTAACGATGGTCCAAAAGACGGTGGCGTCTTGTTGGGTGGGGCTTGCAGCTTGCAGCTTCAGCCCCACCTGGTTTTTCTTTACCAGAAAGTTACAGCGAAAGATCTTGTCGGTATGTTAGTGTTTTATCGCCTATAAATGGCTGTTTGCACTGTATGCTTCCCAGGAAGTTGAGGTTGTTTCAGAATGCTCTCAGGTCTGCTGGGGTAATGATATAGATTGTGAAGCTCATAGAGCTTGCTGATGAGCGGGGATTTGCGCTATATAAATGCTATCTATTATTATTATTATTACTTCTCTGATTAAAATTTTAAAAACAAAACAAAAACAAAAAATATTTCACAAAAATTTAACAAGGGACAAAACATACATTAATATATTCTGATAAGAGCGAAACTCCACAAACACCTAAATGAAACTCCGAGACCCAAGAACTCGGAAAAATGATTTGATTGGTCTGGGTGTCTATTACTACATGTACATGTATTTACTACAACTATAGTTTCGTCCAATCAGGCGCTCCTTCCGTCGGGGAGAATGAATTTTCATTGGTTTGTCCCTCAAGCCCTGGCTCTTAAGTTCCCACAGACTGAATATCGCTTTGATTTTGACCTTGCATGGCTCAAGGCCGAGACAAAGCAACTGATGGTTCTATTATTGTCATGGGCTGAAGCCGCACCGCGTCACTTGGTTAAGCATCGCGCGCTCTAACTCTTGACACCAAATTATTTGCACACCCTCGCGGGTCCAGGCAAAAGCGTAGACTGAGGTCGCCTTCTCTCCA